TAGGTACACTGTTATTGCGTAAATCTTTACATGCGCATTACCTACATAGCAATACAGGTTCCTGATAGAATGGAGGTTAAACCCTAATGCTATCTATATAAGGCTTGGGTCTGCTAACTTCTATGCAGTTCGCTTGATTAAAACCTGGTTTTGTAAGCACTGTTTGGTATAGATAGAGGTTGTTTATGAGTGTAGGGGTTGATTGACACAACCCTGATCAATTAATCCCCACCGCCTCACTGATCATACGGCTTCAGCGCTCTGTACTTTCTGGGTTTTTATTTTGTTTACGATTTCAACATAATATTTATCTAATTTTTTTTTTCTTTTTTGATCAGAACCAGTAACCACACGAGAAGGTGACAGAAGAACAGGCATTTATTATGTTTGCAAAGACAAAAAGGAGAATAGGAAAAATTAATTAAGAGAGGCGATAAAGATTCTTTCTTGAATGTTGTAGCAACATTTACTTGTAACCGTTTTCATATACATATGTAGCAAATATATTACTACACTCACTTGGATACCTAATGTCCAATACATAATATAAACACACCAGGAACTCGAAATAAAAGGGGAAAAAAGCTACAGGAACCGAGCAGAAATCAAATCAATAACGTCTAATTAACTAGAATACAATACTGGAAATGAAGCAAGGTAACCCAAAAGAGAGCACGTTTCGATAATTCCTGCTCATTGTGTTGCGTGACCTCTGCATTTAAACTGTACGAGTGATAAGCAACTCTATAACAAAACCAAATAGATACAATATCAGCAACTCTATAACAAATATCAGCAAATCACAGAGAATAGGTATAGTTCGTGTATCTGATAACCTGATCCATTCACAATGTATGTAAGGTATCTAATTATTTTAAAAATGCTGTCTTCGTTTGGACAGAGAACTAAAAATATAATTGTAAAAACCAAAAGATAAAAACAATGCTGTTCAAAGATGTGCGATAAAGTCGGATTATCTTTGAGGTGTAAGGTAGAGTGTACATATCATACCCTGCTGTCAGAACATTGTGTTAGTCTTGTAACCCTTAGCAACAGTTTTATCTTGCACCGAGCAAATAACTTGGTGTATCCTTGGATTGTTCAGGGTCATTTATTCTCATCAACTATTTAATTCAAGATCTCAAAATCAAGTTTATTGTTTTGCCTAGAATTCTTTTCAACAAAAACATTTGGTTATTGGGATGCGACGTAATGGTTTCAACAATGAACTGTCTTTAAATAATGAATTATTGTACAAATGGAAAAGGATAGCGAAACAAACATATTGATTATGCAAATCTTCTCGAACTCGACTTGACGTTTTGTGTTGCTGTGAACATTGAGTCTGATCATACCACTTGTGTTTTTTATTTAAGCTTTTAATTTGTTTATCGATTATGTATATTGACTAAATGTCAGTCAGCTAAATAGTAGTAAAGTCCACTATATGCGATGATAATCCGTGTAAAATAACATTTCCATCTCACTATGAAACCTTCTTATCCTGCAGGGTATGTTGATGTTTATGTCGATCTATATTTTTGCAGTGATTGGTAACGTAACATTATACTGATCATGCATTATCATGGGCAATGACACAGTTTCTTTGATCCCTTCACAAATGCTGTCATATTTACTTTCGCTCTCCTATCGGGAATTTAGGAAGTGTAAATAGACGATATCTTCTGACGATAGTACGGCATATTTGACATAACCTAGGGGTAAGACATATCATTCTAATAGATTTATGACAGAACTAACCCACTTCTATGAGTACCTTAATCTTACCTATACATGGTTAAAGGACAAGGACCTTCAGTGGTTATATTTACTCTGTGGAACATGTAATATTGAAACTATAAAACAATATAGGGAGCATACATACATACAAATTATGACGATTTTCTTAAGAAAACTTGTTGAAATGAATATCACATGGTAGATATATGTCTCCTTAATTAATTTATACACACCTTATATGTTAATAAAGTATATGTCTACGCTGTTTGAGGGTTGATATAGGGGTAGGCACACTAGAAGTAAGTAGGTTCAGTATATGTATGTTGGTAGGCTGTGGGAAGGCTTTGTATTGTGATGTCACGATATTGGTTGGGTTTGATTTACTTTTGTTTTACGTCCTGTTAACAGCTAAGGTCATTTAAGGACGTGCCTCCATGTGTGTAGTGTATGCGTGCTTGCGTGTGTGTATGTAGGATACAGGGTATGTTGGGTGTTCTTGCTTCCTTGTGATAACGCAGATCTGATGCCGATTCTATAGTGCTATCTCACTGAAATGCCATGCCAAAGACACCAGGCACAGCAATCCGCCCGGTCACATTATATACTGACCACATGTGAACCAGTTGTTGGCATTCCCCTAAATGCTGAACGTGTAGTAGGGGATAACAACTACCATTGTTAAGGACTTTAATATGTCCCGACCTGGGGGCAGAATCCATCGCCTTCCTCATCTGAAGGAACGCTCACCATTAAGGCCAAAAGTGAGGTGTTGCCAAGCAAGGTGATAGGAAATAAAAGGTTATAAGAAGTAGAAAGAAATATTAAGATCCCAAACATTGCAATGGGCGCAGCAGATCTAATTTGGTCACTTTTGTGTCCCCAAATAGAGGACACCAAAGCAAATCCCGAATTATTCGGGGGGCCTGCGCATTAGTCGCCTCTTACGATACATGCAGTGGGTAACAGCAGGTGTATTCTTTTCTTGATCCCCCACCTACAGGAGTGTGTCAAGATATAATTAAGAATGTGCATATTTTAAGTTAATGTATTATTGTAAAGCAAAATGCTAAGACTGTAAAATTTAATACTGTAAGAAACGGCTCCTTATTTTTATACGCTGAAGGTCTGAGAAAATGTTGGGGTATATAAATACGCTATTCCGTCTTTGCGTATTGCAGAGTTATCTTCTCTTGAGAGCAGGTATTGATTGTTACGTCATTTGTTTGTGGGAGTAACGTCATCAATTTTTGAGAAAACGACGTAATTTTCTCACACGAACCAATGACGTAACAATCAATACCTGCTCTCAAGAGAAGATAACTCTGCAATACGCAAAGACGGAATAGTCTCCTTATACATCCTCATTCCCAGATTTTGGGATTCTTTTTCAATTGCTGTTGAATCTAATCAAATATATTTGTATGAATGTTGGATAAAAAAGAAAGTGATTTATTCTGAATAAAGCTTGAAAATTAGCGATCATGAAGGTGGTACTGCTGGAATATGATATAGATCACCGTAACATAACGCACTAGTCAAGAGTGTAAACGTAGAACAGATTTAACACTGTAAAAGTAATGTTTAATCTTAATAACATGACTTATATCAAAGTTGATTTTATTTGTGATCATAGACTTGATTACTGATGTCATTAAAATGTCGTACGATTACATTCCGGAAATTAATATCCGTAAATATTCTAATATAAATTTGATTATCAGATAATATCTGTATATAAAACTTCTTCTATGAAAGTTGTGAAATATCCCTTTTTTGTATTTTATCAATCACAAAATGTGAAATTTCCAAAAAATATTTAATCCTCTAACTTTACGAAAGTTCTGTGGTGTACAGTCTTATCTTACCTCCTCCAGAGTTAATGTAAACTATATTTCCGACATTTTCTGTGGTTTACAGTCTTCGCTCATCTTACCTCCTCCAGAGTTAATGGACACTATATTTCCGACATTTTTTGTGGTTTACAGTCTTCGCTCATCTTACCTCCTCCAGAGTTAATGTAAACTATATTCCCGACATTTTTTGTGGTTTACAGTCTTATCTTACCTCCTCTAGAGTTAATGTAAACTATATTTCCGACTTTTTTTGTGGTTTACAGTCTTATCTTACCTCCTCCAGAGTTAATGTAAACTATATTTCCGACTTTTTTTACTTATTGTTAGTTTTTTGCATGTTTTCACATCGACTATTTGGTATTTTCTTATTTCTACCGTATTTAATTACTGATCAAAAGGGGGATATGACTGGAGTTACATTAACTACACCACGGAAGTTAAGGACCGTCGTGAGCAAACACAGTAATCTACAACGTAACAATTTAAACTTAAAACCAACCCTTCAGTTAGTTATTGACGCGAGAGGTCGGAACGGTGGCTACTCCTAGAGATGAGAGGATCACCACAGTCGCGAACACCGCAGGCTCTTCCCTCTTAGGATAGCGGTTATCGATCTGAAGGGCCTCTCAGTCGAGGCGATTAAACAGTATTTCGGACAGGTAGATAGTCCAAGTAACGTTGACGTGACAATCGACATGTCGCGAGGGCAACATACATAACGGACCGGTTAAAGACTAGATCAGCGAATTTATTTCTTTTTATCTCTTAAATATTCAATATATCGTAGAAGAAAATAATTGGACTTTAATTGTCCAGAAATAAACCTACCGTGATGATGTTTACGTCAAACTACACATCTATAGCGACACAGAAAAGATAAGGTATGTACGATGTGCTGTCAGAATCGACAATGCTTTAACAATATCGGGCGGTACATTTTGAAAGGCTTATATCTGTTTATACCTATTAGTAAGAATGGAGCGATTCGATAAACAGATATATATATCATAGATTAACAGTCACACAGATAGTACCGACAGCTTCGATTATCCTAAAATAAAGAGCTTGAACGATCCGACAATTGACAGATGCGATATATAGTAACACATGCATTTGTAACATAACAACAGACTGTCAAATAGACTTCGGTGTTGGTGGCAAAACTAGCACTCACGTACGCCAGGTACACGCTTTCTTACTTACTCTAAGCAAAACTGTCCCAGGCATCCGACTATGTGTATAGCGTTAGGAGGGAGCGGAGTCGTCAAAGTCAATACCCAAATTCCAAACACAAAGCTGATAACCCCATACCCGCTGTCTACTACGGCCTCCATTCGAACGTCTATATTTGGTGTAAATGTTGTATCTTTTCAATTTTTATCTTTTGCATATGAGCTGTCACATATTTTCGAAGTATGTTATCATTTCCGTTAAGTTAGTGTTTGTGACAACGTAACTGATATTACTCAACACGTGATTGCTGGTCGTTTCTGAGGTATTGCGTGCATTTTACTTAAAGGTTTATAATTAAATGTCCCTGTAGAGACTTCAAACGGCATGTCCATTCCGCCAGCGTATTAATCACACGTACTGTCTAAACGTGTGCGCGGGAATCACAGGACATAGATTTGTGTGGCGCAGGTGACATTTCTGCATCACTACATTCCGGTGGAGGAAGGATACTGAAATTGATATGTTTTATTAGCCGGAGGGAAAGCGTATTCTCAAGACAACAAACAAATACTTATATGCGTAAAGATAATATGTTAAATCGTCGATATTTTCATAGCCAACAACCCTGACAGTGTTTCTTTGGAATCTTCACCAGATCTCACCAAACCGCTGACAGCCGGTAAGTTTTTCCCAATGATGTTGAACTAAAAACTGTTCTCTTTCAGCAATTTTGATTTCAAAATTAAGATTAGTGAAGATTTACTATATTTTTGTCTCGATATAATGTACAAGCAGATCGATTTGCAAGGTACAAAACTAGCACACCAAATAACATTTAAACCGTCGCTGATATACAATGGTACTACCTGTACGTGTTGAAACACTAAACGCAGATTTCCTCTGTGTTTCATGCTACATGTATTGTTTGTTATGTCAAAATTTGTTCTCTAAGAAATTGGAGAATATGAATGGATTACTTTCGATATAAGTAATGCATTGAAACTCCATCAACTTTAGAAGCATAATTTCTTGCTTCATGGCTTTATTAAAACATTCATGTCGCAAACCGGTCCCTACTAAACGTCTCTACCGCCAGAAAGCTGTTTTAATGAAATTGTGAAAAGTAAGCGAATTGTAATTTTAAGATGGCCCCTAAGAGTAGTCACTGTACCATCACCATGTATTTTCTAATAACAATTTTAAAGTTCAATCTTCCCGCCAATTACAAATTTAACACCACATACGGATATAATTATTATAAACTAGGCACGTGTCTGTGAAGGTACTTATTCTGTATCACACGTGCGTGTAGTAAGCGCACATTTGTATAACGGTAAGTAAACATACACCTATACAAGTGTTCTTTTCACAGTTAACTGTCGTCCTGCGTTGTGTATAAGTTACACACACGCGAGTTATATCTATCAAATCGCGGTGACATGCGAGCGACCCACACCAGATCGCTAAATGTCGAAGTTGAGCTGTTGCAATGTTGTATTTTCCTAAGGTCTGGATCTATGGTGATTGATGTTCCGACTAATCCACTTGCCTAAGTCAACGTCCCTCTGTATTATGTGTCAGCCTCAGTATTCTCTGTATTCTCTTCAGCATCCCCTGTATCTGCAGTCTTTGTTTCAACCTCTGTATTCTCTGTATATTTTTCTGTATTGCCTTTGCCTATTTCCTGTTATCTGTGTATCAGTTTCTGTTTTGTATAGGTTTCTGTAATCCTTGTATTAGCCTCCGTAACCTATGTATGTTTCTATAGTCTCTGTGTCAGTTGCTGTATTCTCTGAACCTGTTTTTGAGCTCTCTGTATCTGTCACTGTACCCTTTGTACAAGTATCTGTAATCCTTGTTCCTGTTTCTGTACTTCCTGTACCTGTTTCTATATTCTCTGTGTCAGTTGCTGTATTCTCTGAACCTGTTTTTGAGCTCTCTGTATCTGTCACTGTATCCTCTGTACAAGTATCTGTAATCCTTGTTCCTGTTTCTGTACTTCCTGTACTTGTTTCTATAGTCTCTGTGTCAGTTGCTGTATTCTCTGAACCTGTTTTTGAGCTCTCTGTATCTGTCACTGTATCCTCTGTACAAGTATCTGTAATCCTTGTTCCTGTTTCTGTACTTCCTGTACTTGTTTCTATAGTCTCTGTGTCAGTTGCTGTATTCTCTGAACCTGTTTTTGAGCTCTCTGTATCTGTCACTGTATCCTCTGTACAAGTATCTGTAATCCTTGTTCCTGTTTCTGTACTTCCTGTACTTGTTTCTATAGTCTCTGTGTCAGTTGCTGTATTCTCTGAACCTGTTTTTGAGCTCTCTGTATCTGTCACTGTATCCTCTGTACAAGTATCTGTAATCCTTGTTCCTGTTTCTGTACTTCCTGTACTTGTTTCTATAGTCTCTGTGTCAGTTGCTGTATTCTCTGAACCTGTTTTTGAGCTCTCTGTATCTGTCACTGTATCCTCTGTACAAGTATCTGTAATCCTTGTTCCTGTTTCTGTACTTCCTGTACTTGTTTCTATAGTCTCTGTGTCAGTTGCTGTATTCTCTGAACCTGTTTTTGAGCTCTCTGTATCTGTCACTGTATCCTCTGTACAAGTATCTGTAATCCTTGTTCCTGTTTCTGTACTTCCTGTACTTGTTTCTATAGTCTCTGTGTCAGTTGCTGTATTCTCTGAACCTGTTTTTGAGCTCTCTGTATCTGTCACTGTATCCTCTGTACAAGTATCTGTAATCCTTGTTCCTGTTTCTGTACTTCCTGTACTTGTTTCTATAGTCTCTGTGTCAGTTGCTGTATTCTCTGAACCTGTTTTTGAGCTCTCTGTATCTGTCACTGTATCCTCTGTACAAGTATCTGTAATCCTTGTTCCTGTTTCTGTACTTCCTGTACTTGTTTCTATATTCTCTGTGTCAGTTGCTGTATTCTCTGAACCTGTTTTTGAGCTCTCTGTATCTGTCACTGTATCCTCTGTACAAGTATCTGTAATCCTTGTTCCTGTTTCTGTACTTCCTGTACTTGTTTCTATATTCTCTGTGTCAGTTGCTGTATTCTCTGAACCTGTTTTTGAGCTCTCTGTATCTGTCACTGTATCCTCTGTACAAGTATCTGTAATCCTTGTTCCTGTTTCTGTACTTCCTGTACTTGTTTCTATATTCTCTGTACCTGTTTTCAGTTTTCTTGTATTCTGTGTATTGGTTTCTGAATTTTTTATATCTCTTCTTGTATTCTCTATATCGACTTCAGTATTCTGTGTATCAGCCACTAAATTCTGTGTATCGGTTTCTTTATTCTCTAGATCAGCTTCTGTATTCCCTTTATCATTTTCTGTATTGTCTGTATCAGGTTTTTTAATTCTCTATCAGTGTTTCTATTCTCTGTATCCGTTTTTGTATTCCCTGTATCAGTTTTTGTATTCCCTGTATCATTTTTGGTATTCTCTGTATAAGTGTTTTTGTATTCTCTGTATCAGATTATGTATTCCCTACATCAGTTTTGTATTCTCTATCATTATTTTTTTCTCTGTATAAGCTTTTGTATTCCCTGTATACATTTTTGTATTTCCTGTACCAATTTTTGTATTCCCGGTATCAGTTTTTTTATTCTCTATCAGTGATTGTATTCCCTATATCAGGTTTTGTATTCCCTATATCAGTGATTGTATTCCCTATATCAGGTTTTGTATTCCCTGTATCAGTTTTTGTGTTCTCTATCAGTGATTGTATTCCCTGTATCAGATTTTGTATTCCCTGTATCAGATTTTGTATTCCCTGCATCAGTTTTTGTATTCCCTATATCAGTTTTTGTATTCCCTATATCAGTGTGTATATGCCCTGTGTCAGTTATTGTATTCCCTGTAGAAGGTTTTGTATTCCCTGTGTCAGGCTTTATTTTCTCTGTTTCATCCTCCGTGTTCTATGTATCTGTTTGTAAAAACCACAATAAATGTTAAAGTGAAATATAAGAAGGAGGCAATTGGGCGAATGGTATTTTGTCTGGTTGAGTTAGTGTTTTTGATATTTTTGCTTAGTTCGGTGGAAAGGTTTTTCAGCAGATTATATGCCTTCCTATTAAAACTAACTGTGCCCCTCTGCTTGCCAACTTGTTTTTATGATGGTGAATATTTTAAAGTGCTTTTAAGAACTGGTAACAAAAACCAAGTCAACTCCTTCAATTTCACATTCAAATATATAGACAATGCGCTGTCTTAACATAAATTGTTTTTACCATCCAGAGTGTAAGATCAATGCCACTACATACTCTTCTACTTTAGCCGTTTTCCTTGATCGTATTAATAGCATAACCCGGGCGACTTTCTACTAAGTAGTACGATTGTGATTTTCCTATGTTGTACTTTTCCCTCCCTGCTTCGACAATCTTAGATTGTTGATTTGATGCGGGGAAAGACTATTTGTGTGTGATATTAGGTCGATGTTTTTTCAGTATGCTTTTTAGGAAGAGCATTACTTCAGTATGCTCTCTATGAAGTAATCGACGCTTATCCTTCTGTAACACCTGGTCTCATTCTCCTTGTAATGTTTCAAGGGCCTCGTATGCATCTTTCCTTTGTTTATATTTCGCCCCAGTTTTATCGATTTTGAGTTCAAGTTACGGTTTTGTTCACACTTCCGTATTCCCTTTTTCCTGTAACAGTGTATTTTCTATATCAATTCCGGGGCCTATGTGTTATCTGGACCTGCTTTTGTAGTGCCTGTCTAAATAGATAGGGTGACATTTAAAAATGTATTGGATATTTACTAGGAAATTTAAATGAAGCGATACAATGAAGTTAATTATAGTGGTAATAGGGAGTGAATTGGAGTAGTACTAGGAAGTGGATTGAACTGGTACTAGGGAGTTTATTGAATTGGTACCGAGGTTGGATTTTAGTGGTACTGTGGAGTGTAGAGGTACTAGTGAGTCTATTTAAGTGGTACTAGGTAGTGGATTGTAGTTGTACTAGGGAGTACATTTAAGTGGTACTAGGGAGTGGATTGGAGTGGTACTAGGGCGTGATATGGAGTGGATTGGATTTATACTTGGAATATATTGGAATTATATTATGGAGTGGGTTGTAGTGGTACTGGTGAGTGTAATAAAGTGGTATAGTAATGGGAGATGTTTTGGATCAGTTATAACGGATTTGTTACAGATTTGTGTTTCGTAAGTATTTCAACCTGAATGATGTGTTGTTATGTCTGTGGTTTTATAGCATCCACATATAGTTAGCTCACGTATAGACCTGAATGATGTGTTGCCATGTCTGTGTTTTTTTTAGCATCCACATATAGCTAGCTCCCGTATAGACCTGAATGATGGGTTGCTATGTCTGTGGTTTTATAGCATACACATATAGTTAGCTCCCGTATAGAACTGAATGATGTGTTGTTATGTCTGTGGTTTTTTACAGATTTGTGTTTCGTAAGTATTTCAACCTGAATGATGTGTTGTTATGTCTGTTGTTTTTTAACCTTCCACATATAGTTAGCTCCCGTATAGTCCTTAATGATGTGTTGTTATGTCTGTGGTTTTTCAACCTTCCACATATAGTTAGCTCCCGTATAGAACTGAATGATGTGTTGTTATGTCTGTTGTTTTTTAACCTTCCACATATAGTTAGCTCCCGTCTAGACCTGAATGATGTGTTGTTATGTCTGTTGTTTTTTAACCTTCCACATATAGTTAGCTCCCGTCTAGACCTGAATGATGTGTTGTTATGTCTGTGGTTTTTTAACCTTCCTCATATAGTTAGCTCCCGTATAGACCCGAATGATGTGTTGTTATGTCTGTGGTTTTTTAACCTTCCCCATATAGTTAGCTCCCGTATAGACCCGAATGATGTGTTGTTATGTCTGTGGTTTTTTAACCATCCACATATAGTTAGCTCCCGTATAGTCCTTAATGATGTGTTGTTATGTCTGTGGTTTTTTAACCTTCCTCATATAGTTAGCTCCCGTATAGACCCGAATGATGTGTTGTTATGTCTGTGGTTTTTTACAGATTTGTGTTTCGTAAGTATTTCAACCTGAATGATGGGTTGTTATGTCTGTGGTTTTATAGCATCCACATATAGTTAGCTCCCGTATAGTCCTTAATGATGTGTTGTTATGTCTGTGGTTTTATAGTATCCACATATAGTTAGCTCCCGTATAGAACTGAATGATGTGTTGTTATGTCTGTGGTTTTTTACCCTTCCACATATAGTTAGCTCCCGTCTAGACCTGAATGATGTGTTGTTATGTCTGTTGTTTTTTAACCTTCCACATATAGTTAGCTCCCGTCTAGACCTGAATGATGTGTTGTTATGTCTGTGGTTTTATAGCATCCACATATAGTTAGCTCCCGTATAGTCCTTAATGATGTGTTGTTATGTCTGTGGTTTTTTAACCTTCCCCATATAGTTAGCTCCCGTATAGACCCGAATGATGTGTTGTTATGTCTGTGGTTTTTCAACCTTCCACATATAGTTAGCTCCCGTATAGAACTGAATGATGTGTTGTTATGTCTGTTGTTTTTTAACCTTCCACATATAGTTAGCTCCCGTATAGTCCTTAATGATGTGTTGTTATGTCTGTGGTTTTTTAACCTTCCACACATAATTAGCTCCCGTATAGACCTGAAAGATGTGTTGCTATGTCTGTGGTTTTATAGCATACACATATAGTTAGCTCCCGTATAGACCTGAAAGATGTGTTGCTATGTCTGTGGTTTTTTAACCTTCCTCATATAGTTAGCTCCCGTATAGACCCGAATGATGTGTTGTTATGTCTGTGGTTTTACACATATAGTTAGCTCCCGTATAGACCCGAATGATGTGTTGTTATGTCTGTGGTTTTACACATATAGTTAGCTCCCGTATAGACCTGAAAGATGTGTTGCTATGTCTGTGGTTTTATCGCATACACATATAGTTAGCTCCCGTATAGACCTGAATGAAGTGTTGTTATGTCTGTGGTTTTTTACAGATTTGTGTTTCGTAAGTATTTCAACCTGAATGATGTGTTGTTATGTCTGTGGTTTTTTAACCTTCCACATATAATTAGCTCCCGTATAGACCTGAAAGATGTGTTGCTATGTCTGTGGTTTTATAGCATACACATATAGTTAGCTCCCGTATAGACCTGAATGATGTGTTGCCATGTCTGTGTTTTTTTTAGCATCCACATATAGTTAGCTCCCGTATAGACCTGAATGATGTGTTGTTATGGCTGTGGTTTTATAGCATCCACATATAGTGAGCTCCCGTATAGACCTGAATGATGGGTTGTTATGTCTGTGGTTTTTTAACCTTCCCCATATAGTTAGCTCCCGTATAGCCCTGAATGATGTGTTGTTATGTCTGGGGCTTTATAGCATCCACATATAGATAGCTCCCGTATAGACCTGACTGATGTGTTGTTATGTCTGTGGTTTTATAGCATCCACATATAGTTAGCTCCCGTATAGACCTGAATGGTGGAATTTACAATTGTTAACAAATTGCAGACTGGAACCGTAGCGATATCAGTCTTTAACAAGAAAACACCAGATCCTGAACTAATCCCACACCTTTACATTTACACACGAACGATTATAAAGTCGAGTTTGAGTGCTAGTTCTATAATTAAATAGACCAGGAAGGCCCTGTGGACTTACGGAATTGTGATTAGAGTTGAACTTACTTAGTGTCGCCTGTGGCTTTAGGAGAACATGACAGTACCCTTGGGTATAATGCTACGACAACATTTGTTTTTGGGGAGTTTATTAGACAGTTGTGTATAATGTAAGAGTCTGCGATGCGAAATAAAGCCCACATATGTTGACCTTTCAATGATGTTAAACTTCAAACCACAATCTGTTTTCCGCTCATTTATTCTGTCAAATACTAACGTTCTAAATTTCATTGCTATTTCTAAGGCACATATAATGGCCGTTGCAATTAATGCAGGGCAGAAGAAAGTTCTGGCCGACTTTATAGCACTAATGAGAAAGGTTGGCGACTTTTGTCGGTGGTACGATAATAACTTATTGTTTATTGAAACAAACCAATTGTATTGAATATAAAAGAAATCAAACCAGGGATTTAGGTAAATTAGTTGCTTTTTATGAAGATTACAAATTGGTGAAAGAAATAATGACCGAATATATCAATCATGTAAGTTCTAGGACCGGATAAATGGAGGTCGTCAGAGTATAACAATCTACCTGTGTATCATTGTTATATGATATAGAGGGGATTAATGGTTTCCGGATCTCTCAACAGTATAACGGTACATTCTGCAATACGAGAGACAAATAATTCGTACAATAATACTCTTCGTATGAAAAGCATTATACATTTCCTACTTCTGTTCAAA